TCTAAGTAAATATTCACTTTTGTACCAAAAAATAAATATTTCATAATCTGGGCTTTTCAGTGGCTGTCAGAAATAGTAAAGATTAACTATATGCATGAATAAGACATGATAGAATTTCACCTTCCTTTTCATTTCTTCTTTTGACCTCCAATATCTAATGTCTTGTCTACTGTATAGTTTTTCTTTCTTTCTACATCACATACACTAGAGCTCATGGGAAGATTTGGGGAAAGAATATGGTATTGGATAAATATACACCAGCCCAGGCCCCTTTTAGAGGGATCAGTTGAGCTGGGTTCCTCGGATCTGCAGAAAAGAGGGTTCTTACTCCATTTTCAATATTTCCCATAAGCCTAACAAAATATTTACACATAAGATACTTGCTGGCAAAATGAGAGGTCAACATTTACTTGATTTGCTTCTGGCTTTATCACCTTAGTACTTGTAACACAGGTTAATTTATGCTAACCAGAACCTTTAACAATGTAATCTTCAGTGATTTAAACTTGGGAAAACAAACGATTTTGTAATATATGTGATCAGCTTTATAAGTAAAATCTTAAAACATTTTGGCTTCAGGGAGGAAAAAAACAACTCCCTTTGTGATGAAAATGGGAAACACATCTGTGTTGCCTAACTTTCAAAATACTTCTTTATCGAATATTCACTATGGGGCAGGGACTTTATATAATTTATCATGCTAATAACAGTTCTGCAAGGCATTATTAACCCAATTTTATAATGGAGGACACAAAGGCTCAGATTATAGGTGTCTATTTCCAAATCCCTTAACTAGTAAGTTCATGTAAATCCAGGTCTGCCCTGCCTCCTGTATGATTAGTTATGTCTGGGTTTAGGAGTTGTTGGTTAATTTTCCAGGGAAAGTCCACCAGGCCAGTCCTCGAGGTCCACAGTAGTAACTACATTTTGTACCTAGTCTTAACTTCTGATTCCTTGCCACCAAAATCACCAGACCCACCCAAGGTTCAAGTAAGGTAGGAATTTATTGGGGAATAGGCACACAGGGACTGTCTCTGTAGGGTATTTATGTAAGGGTTAAGGAACATGCATAAACGGGAAATATGCCCAAGTGACCGGGGAGCTTCAAAACCTACTCGTCTGCTCATATTGCTGCTCTAGCTGGGGGAGCAGGAGCTGCGGTCATTGTCAGAAGTTGGAATGGATTTGTATAAATGCATCCCCTCCCTCAGTCTGGTTCCTCTGGTGGGTGCCCCGGACTGACTTTGACAGATGTAGATGGGACAAAGCAAAAGGAGGCGACTCATGTGGTCTTGCTGCATCTTGCTGCGCTCAGTGGACCAAGAGCAAGTGAGCTCACCTGGCAGCCTGAAGCCACCAGGGCACCTGATCCCACCCCCAAACCTAAGCTTGGCCAACTTAGTCACGTCTCTTCATTTGGGCATCTTTTACTGATTTGAAGAAGACTCATCTTTGGAACAATAAAGCTGTACAACAAACGTGGGACTACTGTGCAGCTGGCCAGGGTGTCTACCTCCAGGTGCTTGGACTTTCCAGACTGAAAGGGGGTGGCTTTTAGGTCCCCCTCTCCCTTTACCAGAGGAGGGCGCCGTTCCAGCGCTTTCCTCGCGGCGCAGATCAAGGGCAGAGAAGAAGAAAGGTGCCGGTCGGCGGCACTTCAGATAGAAAACGTGGTTTTTCGTGCCCTGTCCCCGGCACGCGCTCCCGGTGCGGGACAGTCCCGGGGCAAGGCTGCGGGCGGATCCGCCTCAAAGGGGAAGGGACCTTCAATGGGTCACGGGTCCCCGGGACCAAAGGCTCCGGCGGCGGCTCGTTGCCCAGGGGAAGCCCGGTCAGAGGCCGACAAACCCCAACCCCGACGCCGGCGGAGCCCTGCTCGGCTGCCCCGGGACCCCAAGGGGACGCGTGGGCCCGCGCCCGCCCTGCTCTCCGCGTCGCCGCCCGGACCGGCGAGACGGCGCCCAGCTCGCGGCTCCCCTCACACGGCCCTTCCTGAGAGGAAGCAGCAGGGAAAGCGCCTCTCACTTTTCTCGGGCTGGGAAAACTGTTAGGGAAGAAGACAAAGCAACAGGCAGGTTTCCGCTCTCGGGCGGCAGGCCGGGCCCACGGAGAGCGCGGGGCCCCGGGAAGCAGCGGAGGGCCCGGGCTGCCGGAGACCCGAGCGCCGAGGCCGGGTCGCGTCCCGCGCTGTCCCGCCGCGCCCCCGGGGCCCCGCCCCCGCGCCTCCTGCCCCGCCCCTCCCTCGCCTTCCCCGGAGCGCCGGCCCCGCCCCCAGCCCGCCCCCTCCCCCTCCCACCCCACCCCCAGCCGCCGCCACCGCCTTCGCTTTGACGTTGCCGGGGCCCGGGAGGGCGGCCGCGGCGGGCTCCGCAGCCTGGGCAGCCTCCGCCAGGGTGCGCGCCGGCCGCCGCCGCTCGGCCGTCCCGGGAGCCCAACAAAGAGCACGCGGCGCCGACCGCCCGCACTCGCGCCCTGCGGCTCCGGCTCCCCGAGCGCCCGGCGGCGGTTTCGGCGCGGCGGCCGGGGCGGGCGATGGAAGATGGAAGGGAGCAACGCCGCGGTGAGGCTCCGGGACGACCCGGGCGGGGGCGCGGGGCGCGCGGGGTCCGCTGCCCGACGTGGGGTCCGCTTTGCTTTGTCGCTCCTCCGTCCCTCAGGGTCCCCGGGGCCACTTGTGTCTGTGTCTTGACGATAGGTTCTGGTAACTATTTTCTTTTTTGCGCTTGCTTCCTTTGTGTTTGTTGGGAGCCCAGAAGGATCAACTTTGTGGTGTTAAGGTTTAGGGGTTTTAGTTCATCCCTCTGCTTTGAAAACCTGAGGGAAAAGCTAGAGTACTGGCTCTTGCTTAAAGATCAAAAGGAGGAAAGCATTTAGAGGACCTGATGTGCCGATTTTACTCTGCCAAGTCAGTCCTTGTATTTAGGGACTATCACGTTTCTGTCAGAAAGAAAAAAAAAAAAAAACCTCAACAAACTTGCATTGAGCGAGCAAACAGACAAGGGGAGATTATTCGGTGTAATATTCCCAGTAGCTTTTAAAGACGTTTACATCATTCCATTTTACATGCATTTAACTTTATCCATTGTTTTCAGATGAATGTCCTGGCAAATGATGTTCTGAGATTAAAAAAAAAAAAAGGTTAACACAGATTAGACAACGTGGGTTTAGAATGTTGTCGGTGACCTAAATAATAAATGATTAATTTCGCCATTCCGGGATGTTAAAGGATATTAAACACCTACTAGAGCAGAGGCGGTAATGGGCACTGGGATTTCATTCTTCGGAGACTGGTCTCCTGACGGTGGGACCCAAGATTTCCGCTCCACAATCGCTCTTGAGTGGCTCCAGGTGTTGGGGTAGGGAAGCGGGCGATCTGGAAAATTACTGTAAGTGGGATTCTGGCAGCAAATGCTGCCATTCATTAGTTATAATTGAGTCTGTGCAGAGGATTTTGCAAAGCCCAATAGCCAGGTGAGTAAGACAGGATTTCTGCTCTCAAGGAGATTGCTTTTAGTAGGAGAAAGAGACTTATGCATAGGTTATGATGGAGAATCCCAGAGGAAGGAGAGATTCTGGCCTAAGGGCTTGGAAGTTCTCAGAGAGGAGCTGGCCATCGAGCTGGACCTTGAAAGGGAGGGGTTGGTTGGTTTTTTGTGAGATGTGGGGGAAAGGATGTTCCTTGCTGAAGGAAGGGAAATGCACTTTCTATCCTCTTCCAAGAAGTACTTTGCCATCCTTTCTTTTCTGAGAGTGTTTACAAATCAAGAGATTTTCTTTTAATAAGTTATTACATTCCTCTTCAGCAGTTAAAAATGCAACGTGTTCAATTGAACCAGTAAAACAAATGCACAATTAAGCTAGCATCTTCTCAACCAATTTTTAGTGGCTGGGTACGTGTCTTTCTACAGCCTTCTTATATTCATCCACAAATGATTTGGTCGTGTTTGTCAGATAGTTCATTAATAAAAAGCTCTTTGTACCAAAAGGAGTGGAGTGGTTGGTACCAGGGAAAACACTTGGACTAGTAGGTAGGACACCTGGCATGTAGGTTTTGCCACTGATTGGGTGAATTTTTGTCACTGTCTTGGGCAAATCATTTAACCTTTGTATTAGGTAGCTAAAGTTCCTCCTCTGTAGGGTGAGGGGATTGGATAGATACATGCGCTCTCAGAGCCTTGTAGCTCTAACATTTTATGTTTCCATGCCTAGATTTGCGTTTGCATTGCTTATTCATGGATGTACTCCTAATTTCACATTCTAAATATCTCTGTGTGTTCTGTGAATGGATCAACACTCTTATCTTGGCTATTCAATTTGGGAGAGTGATTAAATCTCCAAGGCTAAAATAACTGTATTAAGGTGAAATTCCATGGTTGAATGTTATTTTTAGAAATGCGTGAATAAGAAGCTTGATTTGCAAACCTTAATGTGTGTTTACTTTAAAAAAGAAGTTTTGTGGACACTGTTCCCTTCATTTGTGACCAAGGAATAATACATACCTTATTAGGTATTTTGCATGTAAGTGGTTCAATTTTGCTTTTAATTAATGTAAATACTAGCAATGAAAAAATGGACAACCTCGGAAACCTTATAGGGTAGTAAATCTTGAGAATTTGGAAATAAAATAATAAGATAGAAAAGCAGATCATTGAAAAGGGGAATTCAGAGACACTTTACATCCACGTCTCTGTTCTGATTCTCAAACTTTGATATTTATGTATGTGTTTGCCAAAGCAGATGGAAAATATTTGAGTGGAATTTAGCCTGGTAATACATTGAAAAAAAAAATGTCTAAGGCATGACTACTTTTAGAGGTGATTTTTTTCCTTTATAGAAATTCTGGAGTGATTTGTTATGTATTATTTATAAACTAAGACACCAGTGTGGTAATGGGTTAATCTCAGCCTTGGTTAAGAGCTGCTGAGGCAAAAACCATGTGAATATTAAAGTGTGTACGTGCTTTGGCTTCAAGACTGGTTTGTTTGAGGTTTATGTGGGGTAATGTCATTTGGCAATTACAAAATGAGCATATCTTTGGGTTTGGGTTGGAGTAGGAGGTAAGTTATGGATAATGATCGTTCTCAATTTTTAGAAATGAATTCAGACATGATTGAGGGTTAGGCAGACTTTGAAAAATAATCTGATGACCAAAATCCATGTACTGTACTTTGTGAATCAGCTTATAGAAGGCTGGGGGGTCTTTTCTAATCTTGAATCACCACTGTTGTCATGGTTCTCAACATTTGGGGGTTCTTCCCGGATGGTTGTCCTTGGCTTCCCTTGGTAGGAGTGGAGGTATTTCACCTTGAATTCTGCCTGTTCTTCCTAGTTCTTTTACAGTAAAAACCAGCCTGGCTTTATTTTAGGGAAGTACAGGATCCAGATGAAATCCTCCAGAGCATTTATTCAGAGTATCCCTGTCTTGACAGCTTGTATTGACTGTGATATTGTATACAGACTCAGAGATTTGCTGGAAGGAATTGAAGTGGTGGAATTATTTTTTTGAAAGAGCCTTTCCGAGTTACATGACCATCTTCCAAAGACAATTTTTCACAAGTTCCAAATTAAGTAGTGTTAGCTGTAGTAGCTATTGTAGTTTACAATGGAGGAAAAGGATAATTTGCAGCATGTAGTTAACAAGTTATTCTTAAATCCAAATTACCAAATTTCCATGTCTCATTTGCAAATAATGTGCAGCTCTTAACATTAATAATCTTTGCTTGTGTTATTTATATAAAAATAGCACATGTCCCTGCAGTACTTTTTGCCCTATTTAATGAATGATTTTTCACTGTGCCCAGAAGGTCAACAAACTGGGGCCCAGCTGGTGCCGAGTGGGCAGGGACTTTGTTGACACTTCAGGGCACAGAGGTGGCCCAGCATTTTCTCTCTTGGTGACACCTGTGGGGTGATGGATCCGCCAGCTCCTTTCTCCTTCCTCCATGAGACTGCCAGGCTGTGGCCAGGGCTGACCTCTCCTTGGGGCTTGCTTTACAGCGAACAGCCCTCTGGTTTGAAACTCCCTCTTTTCAGACCATAAATTAGTGAGATGAATCAGAATAATTTGTACAAGTTGATGGATATTTTTAAAAGAATATTCTTGGAGTTAGAGTAAGTGGAAAAATTAACATTTTGACCTGGGCTGGGCCTCTTTACTTACATAGTATTGTCATGTGGGTCTTAAGAGAAGCAGCATTTTCCTGTTAAGTTTCATCTTAAGTCCTAACTTTTGGAAAACTCTTATTTTAAGTGATATTTTTCAGGCATGGGGCATTCATTGTTACAGTCACAGCTGATATTTATTGAGTTCTTATGTGGACTATCTCCCCTAGTCCTGATGACAACCTATGAGGTCAGTCCTGTCATTGTCTCTGAAAGTCTGCAGGGGTTAAGAAATGTACTCAAGATCTCACAGCTAATAAGTAAGTGGCAGAGCTGAGATTTCAGCTAAGTCCAATTTTCTTAACCACCATGCTGCTTTTTTGTCCTTAAAAGTTAGCATTGAGTGTTGCAGAAACTGAGCTTTTTGGCTATAATAACTTAGATTCTTTGGGTCTTGGAATCTGAATATCTGATGACTAATTCATCAGCAACCATTATTTTATATATCTGTTGGCTTAAGTAGCAAGACCAAGATTGTTGTTTGACTCAAGAGATGGAAATTGTGTAATTAAAACAAACAAAACACCCCCCGCCCCAAAACCGCCCCCAAACCCTGCAGTGCCTATAGGCATCACTGTAGGGCCACATGTAAGGAGTTTCATTAGTTGGAATCCAAAGTAAAGCAGATTAACAATTGAAAATGGAATGTAAGGCTCGCCTATTTTAATTTCTAATTACATCATCTCAGATGTGATGTAGACGGTTCTACCACAGTGGGTGTTGACACAGAGAAGGCAGCTTTTCCTTGTTATTTCTTCCCATGAGCTGGTGCTTAGAGGTTGTTGCGAAAAGGAGTTTGAAACAATTAGGAGGAGGATGGGGAATGAGCCCAGGGCATTAATAAGAAGATCAGGCGGCAGCTGCTCCCTGTTTCTCTGGCCTTCTGTTCTCAGATCTTTGCTAAGAATAAGTGAATTATAGAATGGAGCTGCTTGGTTCTTCCTATGGCTAGTTGGTCTGTGGGCAAAGGAAGTAGAAAATGTAAAACAGAAGCAGCTATACCTGCTTTTGTTTGGCCTTCAGGAGATTATTAGTTAAGGGCCAATGGGACTACTTTTTTCTGTATATGAAAATTTACATTTTTTAATGTAGATTTTTGAAAACTCTTACTTTCCAAGAAGTTATATGATAGGCATAGTATAGATTGAGTCATAGTGCACCAAGGGAAGGGGCAATCTAGGTGTGAATGGCACAGACCACGCTAGGAGATGATTGCTGCCTTTTTATATTATTTTCTAACAAAGTTATGTTGGAAAAATGCTGAGAAATTGGCAGCAGGCTATGTGATATTCCAGAGCATCTGCCCTGACCTTCTCTTCATGTCCCTAAAATCTACAAGTAGTGGGTGTTCGAAGAAGCAAGATGTTTACTTGGGTCTAAAACTTACTGCTTGAATATCAAAGTTCCCTTTGGGCAGATTTTTTGTTTTTGTTTTGTGGATTCATTTCTAGTGGCTACAGAAGGTCCATGAGCTGCCTTCCCTACCTGCTGATGTGTCTTTTTCCGTATAAAAATCTCCTATAAAGAAAAGAAAAATCACATTGCTTTCCATGAGCTAACAGCTGTAAGTAAATCAGAGCAGAAAATGAAGTACAAACATCGATCTGCTATTCATTTATTCAGCAAATATTAAGTACTTACCATGTGCCAAGCTCTGTAATAGGCTCCAAAAAACCTTGTCCGCTGACCTGGGACAACCTGCCAAGAACATTCAGAGGCACTTGGGTCATACTTCTGAGAGTCAGACTTCATAATCAGTAAATATTGAAACTGCTGTATTTAAGAATTCAGAGCTTGTGAACTTTCATAGAATCGATGAAGTTAGTTCCTGAATCAGCATTGTTCGGTAGAACTTTCTGCTATGATGAAAATGCCCTTAATCAGCCTTGTCTAAAAGGTAGTCAGTAGGTGCATGTGGATAACCAAGCACTTGAAATATGGCTAGTGAAGTTTAAGAACTGAATTTTTAAGTTTAATTTCAATGAATAGCCTCAGGTGGTTAGTATATTGGACAGCAGAGCTTTAGAGCAAAGTGCTTTAGTAGTTGGCATTGTCTGTCCTGGGCTGTCATTTCTCTCCTAACCACCTGGTTGCTCATGGTGTGTTTACCAACTGGGCTTTGATAAAATTTGAGTATTGTACATATTTACCCTGTCATATCTGATAAGTGGAAAAGCAGCAAGAGTGTATGGGGGACATGGTTTAATGGCAACGAATAGAGATGAAATCATTGAAAATGATGAGAAGAAAAGTGTTGTATTCAACAGTAGGGACTATTCTAAAAAAAAAATGAACAAATTTTGTAACAATTGGTAATACTCAGCAAGATGGAGGAAAAGCTTTTGATAAAATGGGACAGTGTTTGAACTGGTTGACTATTGGCTACTATTAATTGAAGAAATGGCTGGGAGTTTTTTGATAGCTAAAGGAGGTGGTGAAAACACTGCAGTTGACCTTTTTTTTGTAGTTGCAAGCTGTGGATGGTTCTGTAGCTTCAAGCACTCTATGAATCTGCATAGCATCACAATAAATATTCAGGGGGGTAGTGCTAGATATCAAAGCAGCTAAGGTCTTTGGAGCATACCTGCAGAGCTGTCGTAGAGACCCAGTAGATTTTTCAATGTAGATGAAACTGACAGGGAAAATGCCTGAATAGCATGTCTATTGGCAAGGAGTGTGCTGAGCTTTTAAACTATAGGTAAGTGAAGGCACCAGTGTCCCTTGATTAGAGATAGAGGACACTCTAATAAGGACGTGGAACTGAGGAAAAGATCTTATTCTTTATCCCCCAATACTTTTTAGTGACAAGTCTGGAGGTAGACAGCCACATTTATGGGCACTAGGGTTTCTCCAGAGTTAGGAGCCTTGAGGTTAGCATGTGTGAAACCATGAGAGCATTCTCACAGTTAGGCCTCTGTTGAAATACATTCCAATTTTGAGTTTTGTAATTTGTATTAAAAATACAGTGATATAAAGGCATAATACAAAAATATGGATATAGGAAGAGAGAAGGAATGATGTCTATTCAGTATTTATTATGAGCCAGGTATTATTGAGCGTGTGTATGTGTGTGTGTACACACACACATGCATACATGTGCAGTGTGTGTATATATATATTCTTTACTGAAAGGTAGGTGATAGGGTATCTTTATTTTCAGAGGATGAAATTTGAGGCTCTTGTTAAATGAGATTCTTTTTTTCAACAACTATTGAGATAAAATTCACATACCACAAAACTCACTTGTTGAAAGTGTCTATTCAGTGATTTTTAGTATGGTCACAAAGTTGGGCGTCTATCACCCTAGTCAACTTTAGAACATATTCATCACCTCAAAAATAAATCCCAGACCCTAAGCTGTCACCACACCCCTTAGTCCTGGCATTGCCCCATTTCATGCCCCAGGCAACTACTAATCTGTTTTCTGGCTTTTTGGGTTTTCCTGTTCTGTACTTGTCATGTAAATGGAATCATATAGTATGTGGCCTTTTGTGACTGGCTTTTTTCACACAGCATAATGTTTGCATTATGCATATTGCAGCATATATTAGTACTTCCTTTTCATGGCTGAATAATGTCATTGAATAGACAGGTCACATTTTATTCATCCATTCATCAGTTGATGGATTGTTTCTGCTTTTTGGCAGTTAGGAATAATGCCACTATGAATATTAGCATACAAGTTTCTGTGTGGATATGTGGTTTCACTTCTTTTGGGTATAGGAGGGGAATTGCTGGGTCATATTGGAAGTCTGTGTTTAATACTTGGAGTAATTGACAAACAGTTTTTCACAAAGTACCATTTTACATTCCCATCAGCAATGTATGACGGTTCCCATTTCTCTACATCCTCATCAACACTTGTTTCTTTCTTTTTTATTCTAGCCATCCTAGTGGATGCAAAGTAATATCTCCTTGTGGTTTTTCTTGTCATTTTCCTAAAGACTAATGGTGCTGAGAACCTGCACCCTTAGGGCCACGTGTGGCCTTTTGACTGAACACAAATTTTACTGCACAGATTTGTTCTGTGAAGTTTGGATTTGGTCGAGGGGCTGCACTTGGGGATCTGGAGGGCCACATGTGGCCTTGAGGCCGCAGGTTCCCCACCCCTGCTTGGGTTTTTTTTGTTCATTTATTATTAATTGTAAGAGTTGTTTGTATTTTCTGGATATAGGTCTCTTACCAGATATATGTTTTGCAAATATATTCTACCTTCCTGTTGGCTGTCTTTTCACTTTCTTGTTCTGTCCTTTGACATACGTGAGGTTATTTATCTTAAGCAAAGCATGAGGGGGCTCAGCATAGATCCCCGCCCTTACACGTTTCCTGAAGTGAGTATATACAACTTCAGGTAAAATGATTTTAAAAAGGATGCTTTGCCTGAGCCACTTGGGAGAACCACAAAGCTCTGAAGACTTGAGACTCTTATGTGTACTGAAAGGAAGTTTTGGAAGTGGATTCTCTGGAGACTTTTATGTATAGAAACTAGTGTTACCCTGGATTAGATGGAGAACTTCTTGAAAGGAGGATAGCCTACCCAGAAGACTCCTCTTGATTCTTTTCGGGCCTGTAATTTCATGATTTAATCAAACTTGTCTATCACAAGAATTACCTGGCTTTAGATTTCTAGAGCTGCCTGAAGATTCTGGTTTAGTGGTTCTGAAGGGCCACTTTTCATAGTCACTCCATGTGATTCTTAAGATCAGCATGTTTGTGAAACTCTGATCTAACAGGTGAATTAATGACCTTTTAGTGGTCTCCTCTGCAGCTTAATTAGTCCTCTTTAGTGGGTGTGGCCTCCAGGTGGCAACCATGTCTCACTGAGGGAGAATACCAGGAGCTGATCCAGCCAGTCTGGCCACTTTGCTGACCTCAGCACTGGATCTGGAGGCAACTCAAATTGTCCCCCTGCACCCCCACATGCTAGAGATAGTTTGTAAAAATTTAAACTAGGCTCACAACATTTTCAAGTTATAAGGTTGCCACTGCTCCCTTGAGAGTAATCCTCCTTCCTCCTTCCCTCCTTTTTAAGATGAGTTCATATTTTCTTCTCATTGCTGAATCTCTGGAGGCCTCCCGTAGCCATACAGATCTCCATGAAACAAACCCAAGGGGAGAAAAGGACATGGAAAGAAAGACCACATTTTATATAATCTCTGCACTTTGCTTGTTTTAGGTGGCTGGTTAGGGTCTCCTGAAAATTTGATAAATGGAAAGTTGGCAGGGGGAAGACTCATTTGCCTGTTCTCTCTCTCTCTCTCTCTCTCTCTTTTTAATTCTTTTTTTAGAGGTAGGATCTTGCTATGTTGCCCAGGCTGGAACTCAGTAGCTATTCACAGTTGTGATCATAGGGCACTGCAGCCTTCAACTCCTGGCCTCAAGTGATACTCCCACTTCAGCCTCCCTAGCAGCTGGGATCACAGGTGTGACCCACCACACTTGGCTCTTGTCTGTTAAAGGATTTCTGTGTCACCAAGAGGCAGTACAGCATAGTGGTTAGAATGTGATATTGGATTAGATAGTCTGATTTCCTTCCTGGCTCTGTCACCTTCTAGGGGTGTCACCTTGGACGAATTATCTTAACATCTCTGTTCCTTGCTGCCTCATTGAATTCATGGAATACCTCACTAACATTTAGTGGTTGGGAAGGGCTTAGAGCAGTTTCTGAAAAACATTAAGGCAGCAGTAAGTGTGACCTGGATGGTAGGTTACACTTCCCCAAGTGGGAGGTGGAATTGTCATCACCCGTCTCAAAGTCACACATCTATCAAATCTTAAAACTGTCCCTTCTTGTACCCTATACTGTGATTACCTATAGGTGTGCTTTATGGATGCCAAGAGGAAAATTCTAGTATAGTTAGCCCTCTGTATCCATGGGTTCTGTATCTGTGGATTCCATCAAAAATACTTTAAAAAAGTTATGTCTGTATGGAAAATGTACAGACATTTTTTCTTTTCATTAGTCCCTAAACAATAAGGTATAACAACTATTTACATAGCATTTACATTGTATTAGGTATTATAAGTAATCTAGAGATGATTTAAAGTATACAGGAGGTTGTGTGTAGGCTATATGCAAATACTACACCATTTTATATGTAAGGGACTTGAGCATCTGCTCTGAAGGAGAGCCTAGAACCTGTCCCCTGAGGATACCAAGGGAAGACTACTTTGTGTGGTGCTTTGACACATCGTCATTCAATAAATGTTTGTTCAATGAATGTGTTAAGCACTATAGGCTCTTAAATAGCTAAGCACAGGAACCGTCCCAAGAATATATGGACTGAGTAGCTGCTTTGACATTTAGCCTTGTCTAATGGTGAAATAGAATTTCCAGAGTCAATGGGATTTCTGGCCTAATAATTTTTGCTGTTGGCTTTGCTGTGGGGTCTCATTACATCTCCTGCTTTGGAGAAGTGGGATTTCCCCACTTCACAGTCAGCATCCATGGGCTGCTTTTAGAGCTCCAGGTGTGTGAATTTTATCATAGCTCTCTTGCAAATGACAACCTAGGCCACAAAAGATAAGAGTGATGTGCTACTTTGAATTTCCTCACCCTGCTCTTTCCTTTCTGGCAGAGATTTCTGATAGAAGTAGATAAAGGCGCTGGCTGAGTTGGCCTGGTGTGTTTTAACGGTCTCAGCAATTCTGTTTCATTCATTCTTTTGATTTTATCATATTTTTCCATTTTTGATACATTTCTCCCTACCTTCCTGGTATGGCTTGTATACCAGTTGATGACTTATATTGCTGGGTCCTGTTTGGGAAGAAAAAAATCTAATGAGACATAGCGTAATATTCTAAAACTGGAGCTTAAGTAAAGATAGGTAGTTTATAGATTTAAAAGAAATTGATAGGTTAGAGAAATTAAAGCCAAAATTTTAGAAGCATTACTAATATAAATGTATTTGTGATTATTTAGTCAGTGATAAAATGGTTTAATTTACAAAATTATTATATAGCAATAAGATTCACAGGGGAGTTAGGAGAATGGTAATTCCATTTTCTTAACCTGGTGGCATATACAGGGGTATTTGCATTATGAACCTTTATATTTTACAAATGTTTTATAAGTTTTATTTTGCTTCTGTTTAGTAAAAACAATTAAAATGTAAAACATTTACCATTAGAATTCTCTTATGGCCATTTAATGGCTTCTTTCTACAGCATTCCATTTAGCTTTCATGGTGAAACAACTCTTATTATGCCTGTATTTGTTTTACAGAATATTGAAATTACATAATTTCAGTAGCAAGTACAATGAGCACAAATCCATTTGGGAGCAAACACAACTGATTCTTGGTAACCATCAACTCAGTGGTGAGAGCAGAATTTCATGAGTCGTGATTACTAGCTGAGAGCCTTAGGTGATAATGGGTGTTAGACAGCAAGTCTTACAGCGTGGCTGTTCATCTTGGAATCGGTTAATTGGAGGGCAGTTAAGAGCTTCTGCTGTATATGTAACCAGAAACGAAAGCGAACCTGACATTGTATATGGAAACTAATATTATAAGGTAGAGAAATTAAGACTCTTTCCATTTTGTTTTAAATTACTTTTGGCTTTTATCTGTCTCACATTACTTCTGTTGTGTACAAAGCTACTTCACTCCTGAATAATTTATTTTTATATCTAAACATTTTGCCAAAATTATTTTGCTTTCCTTTTACCTGGAAGATAATTTTAATTTCTTTTAAAATGTGGTTTATGAAAATAGGTCCCACTATGTCCATCTACTGAGTAAGTACATTACTAAAGTGTAAAACAACAAAAAACATTTTTTTCTCACTTGTACTTGAGTCCAAAAGTTCACTGAAAGTGGGTTACACCCAGATTTTATATACCATTAAACCATAAAGTGCTTTGTACTTTGCGTCATAATTTCTCTTTCATCTAAGGAAATCAAAGTCCATTCTATTGGCCTGGCTATTTCCACCTGCTTGCAGGAAGGGTCTACCTTTTTGGGACCCATCTTTTAAATGAGCTCTGGTGAAACAAGGGTTTTGAGAAAGCTGAGCATTCTTGGAGAATTTTAGCTCTATTTAGAGAGCAATATCTTTTCAATGGATCAGATTTTGTGTGAGGTTAATTATCAAATTGAAGCAGCTTTTTCCGTAATATCTGAATATGCATACAAAGTGACTTATTTGAAATACACCTCTTTAAAAAGGCTACAAAGTATATGAGAATAGGTCATGTGCAGCTGTGCGTCACTGTAATCTTTCCTGCATTTATACAGTCATTCAGCAAATATTTATTTGAGTGTCTTCTGTGTACCAGGCATTATTTTAGGCACCAGGGATACAGTGGGCAACAAAATGGAGAAAAAAAATTTCTTGCTTTTGCAAGACAGAGAGAGAGTGTGTGTATGTGTGCATGCGCATGTATAGTATGTCGATGGCGTGTGAAGTCCTTCAGGGAAAACTAAAGCAGAAGAGGGAGGCTGGAAGTGGGTAGAGTTGCAGTTATAAGATGGCCTCACTGAGATGACAGGTGATGAAAGACGTGAAGAAGAGGGAAGAGTGCTCCAGGGAGAGGGGGCAGCAAGTGCAAAGCCCTGAGGCAGTGCTATGCTTCCTGCCTTCCATGAAGAGAAGAGCAGCCTGGCTGGAGTAGAGTGGGCACAGAGAAGCAGGTACCATCACGAGCTCCTGTGGGGCCTTCTAGGCTATTGTAAGGGCTTTGATTTGTACTTAGAATGAGCAGAAAAGCCAGTTAGAAAGTTTCAAATAAAGATGTGACATGATCTGGCTTAGAGGACACATTGCTGCTGTGTCTCATGGGAATAGACTGAGGTGGGGAAGGGCAGAAAGGGGCAGACCAGTTAGGAGGCTAGTGTAGTAACCTAAGTGAACGAAGTGGTGAACCAGAGGGGTATGTTTTGAACGTTGAGTGGGAAGGGTTTTCTGATTGACTGAGAGTGGGGTGTGAGTGTGAGAAGTCAAGAGTGACTTGCAGGGTATTGTTGTGTGCAGCCAGGAGGATGGAGTTGCATTAACTGAGATGGGAAGAGGTTGATTTTGGAGGAAGGATCAGGTGTGCAGTTTTGGAGATGTCTAGTAGGCAGTTGGATGTATTTAATATTTGTCTGGCTTTCAAAAGAGAAGTCTGAATAGAGTTAAACATTTGGAAGTTGTCAGAGAGTATATAACTGGATGAAATCCACAAGAGAGTGAGTGTCAGTGGAAAAGAAAAGAGGTTCAGGACTGAGAACCTGGGCTGCTTCCATGCTGAAGTTGAGAGATGCGAAGGGACCAATAAAGGAGAATGATGAAGAAGAGCAGCTATTGAGGAAAATCAAGAGGGTTTGGTGTGTAGGGAGCCAAGTGAAAAGTGAAAAAAACTGCTTCAAAGAGGATGAGTTAGATGTTCATGAGAGGTCAAGTAAAATGAGGGTCAAATGAGAATCGAACCAGGGAGTTAGCAATGGAGGGGTCATTGGTGAGCTTGATAACAGAAGTGTGGCGGAGTAGTGGGGCCCAAAAATCGATCAGTGAGAATTCAAGATAATGCATATGTAGAGAAATGGAAACTTCAAATGCAGACAAATATTTCAAATATTTTTGCTGTAAAGAGGTGAGAAATGTAACTGAAGGGAGAAGTGGGGTCAAGAGACGTTTTAAAATGGAGAGAATAACAGCATGTTTGAATACTAACAGGAAAGACTGTGAAGAGGATAAAAGATAATCCTTAATGTAGTAGCATAATTCCCATTCAAAGGAGTTTTAAACAGCTAAAATCATTCAGCTTACTGTTGTAAATGCAGTCAGTTTTTTCACCATACAAAGTTCTTTCCATCTCTGTCAAAACTCAAACTTTTTCTTTTGTTAATGCCTTTCATTAAATGATTTTTTTTTGTTATGAATAGCATGTGCTCATCTTGTTTAACCTAGGGCGGTCCTAGTTCTGCAGTATGCATGGGTCTTGGGTATACCCTGGCCACACACTTTCAGTCACTGATGATTTCTTTAGCTCGTACCTAAGGCACGGATTCCCCACTATCCTTTAAGCATGTCTGGGATCCCATTTCCAAGAATTTATTCAGTCAACAAAAAATATTCATTGTGTGCATTATGCATATAAGGTCTTATGTTTATAATTAGCAACCACAGGACAACAGATGGATATTAAGACTAAGTATTTAAAGATAAAGGTGTCTCTTGATCTCGTGTGGATGAATAGCTGCTTCTCAGATGTTACTGTGCAGATCACCTAAACTGAAGATTCTGATTCATTAGGTCTGGAGTGGGGCCTACAATCTGGATTCCTAAGAAGCTCCTAGGTGACACCAGAGATGCCGGCACACCTCATTTTGGGTAGAAAGAGATCTTAGGGTACTACTTCTGGGCTTATTTTTTCCCTTAGATTTTTCCTTCTGCTCTTCTTTCTTTATTATTTACATACTGGGTCTTCTCTATCTGGAACTTTCTGACTCAGAATAACAGTACAGCATTTCAGTATTTTGGCTTTCCACTCTTTGCATTTTTTTTATTTAAACTTTTTTACATTTTCATTTTTTTAAAAAATGGAGTCTTGCTCAGCCATCCAGGCTGGAGTGCAGTGGAGTGATCGTAGCTCAAGTGATCCTCCTGCCTCAGCCTCCCAAAGTGCTAAGATTACAGGCTTGAGCCAGCATGCTCAGCCTCTGCTATAATTTAGATCATGTATCTTGTCCTGAATTTAATTTTCATGAGGCATGCTTTTTAGGATCTTCTATATCAGTTCTGTGCGATGGAAATATGTTGAGAATTTCCTATATAAGTTTAAATTTTCTGGTAGCAACATTAAAAAAGTAAAACCAAATGAGTGAAATTAATTTAAATAATATATTTTATTTAACCTAATATATACAAAATATTGTTTCAATATGTAATGCTATAAAAATTATTAATGAAATAATTTTTTTGTGTGCTAAGTCTTAGAAATCTGGCATATATTTTATGCTGACAGCACATCTGCCATATTTCAGGTGCTAAATGGCCCCATGTTGTTGGCATATTGGACAGTGCAGGTCTATATGGAAAGCAGTTGTAGGTATGACAAGAACAGTTTTGTTTGTTCCTTTATCTAATTATTCTCTGTTACTGTTAACATACGATTTGCTAAAGTGATGGCATATGTGGTTAGTTAAATATTAAAATTAGGATGGAGTTTTTTTACATTAATCCTAAAATCTACCCTAAAATGAATAGATGTTTGAAAAATAGATAATTGTAAATATGCAAAGAATACTAAGGTGTTCATTGACTTCAGCAATAGTTAACAGAGATGAGAGCCTATATAAATTAAAAATGGCTAAGACTTTCAGGTAATAATTTTAGAAACATTATTTAGGATAATTTACTTCTTGAGATAATTTCTGAGTAGTAGTTACAACGGTAGCATCACCAAGGGTTTTTGAAAGGTGAGAAGCACTATACCAAACACACTTCAATCCCTCATCATTTGATTCCGTCAAACCTCTGTAAGGTGGGTAGGTACTGTGGTGACTCACATTTTATAGATGAGGAGCCTGAGATCAGAGAGGTTAGGTAATGTGCCCTAGGTCACACAGTGGCTAAATGGTAGGTATAGGATTTGAACTATAGGCAGTCTGATTCCAGAGCTCACTCTCTTAAACTCTGTGTCAAACTGCTTCCTCAGCATATCTCAGTGGTACATTTACTTCATCTTTAAATTGTATGATGGAGGAGTAGTTCCTTTTAATTGTAAAAAGTGGGATTGCTTGACTGATACAATCAATTCGTTCAGCAAACTTG